TTGTAATACGTGTAATATTTATTTTAGAATAATTCTTATATTTATTATGCCGAAGTTAAAAACTTATCGAAATAATCAAAAAAATTTTGCAAATTTTTACTGAATGTATGATAATACATAGTTTCAATAGCTAATAATTTAGTCAATAGGTGGGTATAGTATATGTTTTATAGTTATCTAATTTAATATTGACAAATTATCCAAGCTATTCATTTCACTAGTGTTTTTCACCTTTGCAGATTTTTGACAGTTAAGAAAGCTTTATGTTTATCATTTTCAAGTCTAATTTTATGATGATAACAATAGCTAGCATTTTATTTAATAGTTTGTAATTCAAGTATCATTATTCAGTATGGATTGATGTCTTATACTCAGTTCTTCACAAATATTTATATAATCTTTCGATTTTCAACATTGATAAAATAAATCTGGGTCGCCTGTGTAGTAGCAACTAAGCAGTCACCATCCTAAAATTTTCAATGGCAACAAATTTCAAGATCAGGTTAACAAAGCAGAATCAGGAAAATTCAAAACAAACGTTCGATTTGCTAAAATGCTTATAATTCAAAATTGTGCCTATGAAATTGCCTTCTACGCTCTAACAAAAATTTTTTTGTAAAATTTGATATATACCGGGTGGGTGAAAAGTAGCTAGACAGTGACCTTTTTTAATCACCACGATTATTATTTTAACATTTAGTAATTATAATTTTTAATTTATTGCAATACATTAAAATGATAATCATAGTAATTAAAAAAGATTACTGTCCAGTTACTTTTCATTCACCTGGTATATAGAATTTTCAAATTTAATATAATAGCAAAATCTCACTTTTAATCTAACAGCATTAAATTTTTACTATGGACTAGTTTGAAAAAAATTTGAATAAATTATCTAAGGTATATACAGTACTATGGCCCGATTACCTTATATGAGTGCAATCTCAGATTAATGGATTCTGTAAATAATAAATAATAGTTACTAAATATGTTTTAGTATAGATTAGAGTTAGAATTTAGATTATAAAGTGTGTGTTAGATAATTGTATAAAGGATATATATATTGTAATTAAATATTTTTTTTTTTAATTCAGCAGTCTTGCCTTAACTGTTTATTAGTACTCTAAGGTATTGTGGTTACAAACATACGTATATACATTTACAACTATCTAATTATTTACAGATAAGACTCACCCGGCTACTAACTTAGTACCTATGTATAACCTGCTATATGAGATTTTACCTCCTTAGTAACCGCCCTGCAATTAGACTAATTACTAAATCACCAGATAGTTTTCAAACCTATATTTATTATATATATCCTGCTTATATACTACTGTACAATGTCTACTAGCCAACTTCTACCCCTCAGTACTTATCACATTACTTCTAATTCGTTTCTTGTACTACTTCCAAATTGGTGTCTTTCAAGTGGGTGCCCTTGGTGCTTCCAGTTTGGTGTCCCTGGGGAGCTACTTTAAGAACCTGATCCGTATCTCAAGCCAGGTACTGCCAGGTCATAAGACTCGTATCTCAAGCCACCTGCTGCTATACTAGGGTGTTATTTTACATCGATCCAGGTATTTGCATTGTATACCACCAAATTAGGCTACCGATCCTTCTATAGTACTCCCTATTAGTATGGTAATATAGAAGTCTGGATCCTTAGAATGGGGGTTAAGTACCTCATTTAATTACTGTTACAATCCAATAACCTGGGACCCGCGCCTCTGCCATGTTTCGTCATAAACTCCCATATAGGTTGTGCGACTATTACTCCCTAGTCTGTCTTTATTTTCATATTACCGGATTGTCTGCTTCCATACTTTCAGGTTTCTTTTAGCCAGTTTTCCTTGTTTCCTTGCACCAGAGGTGTTCTATATTTGGTAAAGCTATTCTCTTACCATAGCCCTTACTATGTTTACTACTTCTCTTACCACTTCTGGATATACCACATACAGCCATCCTCTCAATTAAGATCCCAATGCCGCCTTAGGGTTGTTGGTGCTACCTTGCCAATCGTGAATTCATATGCACAGCCTTTTGCAGTAATACCTTCTGTGACCCATGTCACACATAGTGCCAGTCTTCTCCATGGCTCGGGGCTCCTTTCAAGAATTCTTTATTAGTCAAATATATACTCACATGGTCTTATCGCCACAGGGTTTCACATTCGAAAGCTCCTGAAGGTTACAAAGATAATTAATTAAATTAATTACCACCAGCTGTAATCGAATCGTTGACCTCGTCTGTGGAGGGTTAGGTATCCAAACCACTAGGCTATGAGACCCTAATCCCTATTGTAATTAAATATTATAAAATACATTAAATATATACTGTAAATAAATAATTTTATAATAAATCAATATAAAATTGAATTGTATAATATATCGTGTTTTTATTAATTTAATTTTTGATATATTTTAATCTATTAATTAAGTGTATATATTTATAATATTAAATATATATATATTTTTTTTAAGTAATCCTGCCTTTATTCAAATTTAACAAACTGCTACATGATGCTGTAATACATCAACGAGACTGAATATTCTTATCTAATAAAAGCTCACCAAGCCTAAGCCCAATGTGACCAGCTATAACAACTATTAGTCACCCCCGAGATTCGAATTTCATAATGACAAAGTTACCTCCCAAGAGTTATGACAGGTTGTTGTATACCATGTCAGGATCTTTTTTTTCCCTTTTAATTCTTCTTTCTTCTTAAGGAGCACGAGATAAAAGGGGGGAAGTTTTGAAAAGTAAACAAAATAAAAACAACCAACAAAAACCCAAAAAAAAAACACCAAAAAGAGTAAAAAAGAAACATATATTTCAAAAAAGAAAAAACAAAAGAGAAAAAAAAACCCTAACAAAATGATAAAGCTATATCATGGCTAAAAAAATTATATAATACTCTTAAATTTAGCTCTACTCTAAATTTAGTCCATATTATATGTAAATGTCTTCGAGGTAGAGTTAGCCCTGCAAGAATTATTATAAAAAGTTCTCCAAACAGTCAACGTCAGTCCTTGTTTTATATGACACAGTTTGATTCTTTGATCGCCCATTCTAATTTGTATCTCGAGCCAGATGCTGCCGCCGTCCGAGGACCCGTATTTCAAACCACTTGCTGCTATAATTAGAGTTCCCAAGCTGCCGAATTCGTGTTTTCTCGTGACTTCTGTTTCCAATTTGGAATTGGTAAACAATGCAGATCTTTTGGAGAGGGTAAGCCAATTTTCTCACTTTTTGTTTAGCAAAAATTCTCTAAAAAAAACCAAACCAAGCAAGAATATGGTCTAGGGTATTTGGCTGCAAGAACTTTATAATTTTTTAAGGAGTGTGTTGAAATCACAAGTTGTTTGTTGTTTCCTCTGTATTCTTCCAAGAAGTAATAGCCTAAAAGCTTCGTCGACAGATACTACATCCTTGCCTCTCCACCAAGATTTTATATCCAAGAGCACTACCTGCTAGTTATCTTGAATACCAATGCATGTCGAATGGCCTAAAGAGGAGTCCTGGGCAGAGAAAACCATTAACATTTCGCCAAACCGCAAGTTAGGCCATGACTCTCCAACAAAAACTTTGTTTTTCATTAGCAGAAAATTTGGTCTAGGTGATTAACGGGAAGAGTTTTTTTGATAATATTAAATATTATATAGTATTTTATTTTTACTTTTTAAATTTAATTTTTATATAATTTATTATTATGTACTCCAGACTCATAATGGTTTCCAGTTTCTAGTATATAGTAGATATTTTAATATTATTAGCTATTTATACAATAATATATAGAATTTACTGTAATAAATTAAAAATTTTTTATTTTTTAAAAAAATTATAAAGTTTTTAAAATTTTACTAATTATATTAAATTATAATAAATATCTAAATTTATAAAATGATTTGCATTATGCATATTGTTTACTTGTTTATATTTTTTGTTTATTTGTTTACATTTTTTTAACCAATTAAATCAAATGTCTGCTATACTATCTTTGTCTTTATGATTATATGAAATTTTCTTTGTAAATCAGCAAAGAAATTTCATATAGGTACAAAGACAAAAATAGAAATATTATGAAAAATCACCTATATATCATTTGTTAGAAATACAAAAGATGTTAACTTGACAAAAAAAATTCAATTCTAATAAACATTAATTGTTTTATTATATTTAATATCCTCTTATATGTATATAATATTACTATAGTAATTCTTTCTATCTCTCACGAATTACTAATTAATCGATTAATTACAACTATATAGTTTGTTTTGTAACTAAAAAAATAATTACTCAACTAATCGATTAGCAAAACTTTAACTTGATTTTTAATCTAAAGTTAGATCTTCAGTTTTAAGTTTATAGTAAATTTATTAAAGACTTCGTTATCCCGTGATTATCCGATGATCGATGATCATCGGGGAATTTCGCAAGGTGCCAGACTTTAAAATTTCCGAATTTGGTTAAAAACACTCCCTAAAAGTAAAAACCATAGTATTTTATTTTTATAATCATCCACTCTAGTTAGCACTCGGATCAAACTACAGAACTAACCAAAAATTGAGTAGGTTTAGGGGGGCACGAAATCCCTACGATTTAGAGTTGATAATAAAATTTTGCTATCTCGTAAAACCAATCCGAAACATTATTTAGTATCATGAGTAAGTTTTCCGAATTATTCAACCGAAACATCTAAAAAATAATTTAATTTGCCCATGTGAATAGCTAATGTGTAGTAACAGAGAATACATACTGATACATTACAAAGTTTAGATAAATGCAGACATGTGTTTATTTCTTTGTTTGTCTGCAGGCAACCTACTTTTCAATTTTATGCTTTATCGACTGACAAGATTCAGATCACTTTTTATGTTTCATATCATAACTTTTAATCTTGAGAAATTCCGATTTTCGATTGTATTTTTTTATTGTTTTTTTAGTCTTGACGTGATTACATTATTTAAATAGCTTAAAAGAAGCGGGAGATTGTCCCCATGTTGGTTTCCTTAGGAAAGCAAGATCTGCATTCGGTAACCATTGTTCTGAAACTGTGAAATATACCCGGCAGAATCTTGTGTATTTGTGTGACGGAGAACATAAAGAACCTCAATCATTCATTCATTTTTTGTGCTTAGGGTATAAAGCACGTGTAACTTCTACAATATGAAAAATTTATATTGCTTTCGAATTTAATGTAAAAACTGCCTTTCCCTCAAAGGTTTAGACGTTTTTTAAGACCGGATAAAATTTTAAATAATTTCTATCGCTATTTTATTCCTTCGTGTTTTTTTTTTACGCCAGAATCACCTAAAGGCATAATTTGCGTCATTATTTATTCTTGCATTACATTCTTATTTTTGAAAATCCTTTCTCGGTTAAAAGTGCCGCCAATCAACTTTTTACAGTGGCTTTAATAACCCTTGGAGGTTGTGAGCTTTTTTACGCGTTTCCTTCCGTAGGCTGGCTGAAAAAAAAACTTAAAAGTTTTGATCGCCATTTCTAATTGTGTCATTGTATGTAATATGTTAATAAAAATTCTAGTGCTGTACAACAATTATTTGGTTTAGACATTAACAAAGATGTAAAAAAACTTTCAAGATCAAATTCGCATAGTTTTCCAACTGAAAAAGAAAAAAATATTCTGAAACGTTGCGATACGAGTGTTAGTATCATGGATGCTCCTGATGTAGAAGATGCGCCTCCTCCACCTTATGATGAAAAAACAATTCCATTATCTTCAAATTTATCTGCTAAAGCGGATGATGCTACTATAACGACAACCACAACCACAACCATAACTACAATAACTACTACTAGAGTATCTACCAATAACCCATTTATTGATATTTTTGATTTCGATAGTGGTGATGGTGGCATCAATGAAAATTCTCAAAAATCCTCTTTGGATGATACTCCCTCTTCGCTGACAAAACTACATTCTTCTAATTCGTTGTCACCTTCTTCTGCAAGTACACATTCAAATCTATCTGTCCCTGGTTCTTTATATGACAGTTTGGATCCTGCGACACTGACAAGACATCCAAAGCGTACAGAATCTGCTCCTGATATCTCGGAATTGTTTACTGAAAATAAAGATATAAATAATAATCAAATTAATTCCCATTCTGCTGCGAAATCTATGGTAAACTTAAGTACTTTGAGTCAAAAGAATACATCGCTTATAAATAAGGCTTTTCCGGATACTCCTCAGCAATACCTTGATAAATTGCGTGATACTTTATCGAAATCTGAATTAGCAACCTTGCTTGCAAAAAGGCATGTTTCTTAAATGTGTTTTGCGACTTATGCAACTTTATAATTACTTATCGTTATTATTTTTAACTTATTGAAATTTTTAATATAGCAAGGACGTGTTTCATGAAGCCGTATTGCGAACGTACATGGAGACTTTTAATTTTCGCAACGATCCCATCGACATTGCGTTACGGTAGGTTTTATTTTTTCAAAAAATTTTTTTTTTCCCTCAACCTCCTCAATTTTGTTAAATTTGCGAATTCAGAAAGTTTTTGTTGGATTGTTACTTGCCGAAGGAGACGCAACAAATAGATCGCGTCATGGAAGCATTTGCTAAAAGATACCATGAGTGTAATCCAGATGTGTTTGCTTCCTCAGGTTTGTCAAAATCATTTGTTAAAGATCGGGCTTATTTTTATGCATTCGTTATTTGTTCTCATAAATTTTATTCTGATATTTGTAAATTTATTAAATTACAGACGTGGCATATGTCTTAGCTTTTGCAATGTTGATGTTACATACTGATGCCTTTAACAAAAGTGTAAAGCGTAAAATGACAAAGGATGAATTCGTAAATAATACAAGGATCGATGGCGTGCCAAGAGAAATCTTTGAGGTAATTAGTTCATTTTATTGATTTCGTCGACTTATAGTCCCATAAAAATAATTTTCTTATAATCGTAGATTCTTTACGATAATATAACTTTTGCTCGATTTATATATGCTGATGATGATACGGACGTCAATGGGCAAACTATGCTTACATCTCCATCAGAAAATAGGCGATCTAGAATATTTGGTTCTTTAAAGGATCGCAGAAAATCTTCATTTGTAAGGAACGATCCGTATTTTGTAATACAACATGTAATATTATTATTTTATAAACTATTCTTTTCTATGATTTAAATTTAAACATTCCAAACTTTTTTTTCCTGATTTAAATTAAATATCTCAAAATTTTTTTTTCTGATTATAGAAAATTCCAACTGATTTTACCCCATTACTCCAAGATATTGTCCCGGTTGAAAATATTTATTCGTATAAGGGAACCCTTCCGGAATTGGATACGGTTAGTATACACCGCGCTTTTGTCACTGCTCATACTGTTAAAGTTACGGGTGTCAGAACTAGAGGAAATAGTGAATCCTTCAGTCCAACGTCATCTTCAATACATCCTTCGGATGATGACGAAGATACTTTTCTTCTAAAAATTACAAAAGCCGGTAGATTAGGTCGTAAAACGGATATGATGGAAGGTGGAAAAAAGACCGGGTTTGCACGGAGTTGGAAACAATTTGGTGTGGTCCTGAGTGGAAGTCAATTGATGTTTTTCAAAGATGATACATGGTTCAATAATAATATACCAAATCTGAACCATCCAATGGTAATTTTATTGATATTTGACTTTATCAAATTATTATAAATATTTTTACTGTATATAATGTATAATGCATATATGAATATTATTAAATTATTTTTATTGACTATAGAAATCTACCGCGATTCCAACACTAAAACCCGATGTAATTATAATGACAGTTGATTCTGTCGCTGTGTATGATAAAAGCTACAAAAAATATCCAAATGTATTCCGCCTTGTATGTCCCCAGGGCTGCCAATATCTTTTCCAGGCAGAAAGTGAGTCAGAAATGAATGATTGGATCGTAAAAATAAATTATGCTGCCACTTTCAAAACTATTGGTTTGAAAATGAGACATACTTGGAATGGTAGTATGGAAAAAGATGAAGAAATGCGAAGAAGGGGAAAGAAAAATAATCGGAAATCATATTATAATTTTCAACAGGGTCAAGAGGAAAATAGTTCAAATGATGCACATCGCAGGGCTGATGTTCTTAGAGTATGTATAAACTCATATTTAAGTTTCGCTTATTGTCACGAGATAACGCCCTGATGCGACACAAATTTTGAGGAAAACTAATAATTAATTTAGTTAAAAACTTTTTAAACACACATATGTATTTATTATAATTTTATTTATTATCATATTGATAATAAGTTAAATTATAATTAATATTGGTGTTTAAAAAGTTTGGCTAAATTAATTATTACCCTTGGGACATTATTTCGCGATAATACGGTATAATAATTTATTATTTGTATTGATTTTTTAATGCTCTTGTTTTGTTAATCTAGTCAAAAATCGAGGAGCTTCAAGGAAAAATTGCGACGCTCACATCTCAACTTCAAACAGATGTTCGATTTGGCAATAATCTTGCCCTCATGATACCATATAAAGCAACTACTCGAGATCGGATCATCCAAGTTGCTACTGTTGTAGGCAGACGAATCAAAAATATTTGTTTAGAACTCAGTCGACTAGTTTGTTATCATGAAATTATGGAAAAAGAATTGTGCTCGACGATAATGGGAGATAATACTTATTGGCAAAAGAGAAAGAGCATGCATAGAAGTGATGAAAGTCGTTCTTATCAGAGACATTCAAACATAGGAAGTCATTTTCATAATATTACAGAAGGATACAGTAAAGAAATAAATAGCAGACCTATCACCATGAATGTATCACCAATATCATCATATACACCATCAGAACTATCAACCCAAAGTACTAATCTGCCTACTACGCCAACCACACTTTACACGTCAGATTCGACTATTGGTAGTTCTCTACGATTGCCAGAATTTGAATTTGAAATTATTGGATCTCAGAATATAGATAGCTTTGGTGATATGACTAAATCAGGTTTTAGAGATGATACATCTAGCATTGATATTATGTATGATGAATCTACCGAGCAAAATGCAGTGAACATGAAGGACCATAACCAATTTGACTTGGCTGGGAAGCCTAAAGACACATTTACACAAATAGATGCAAATATGCAAATTCCATCAACGATTATAAATTATTTGTCTTCTGATCAAGATGATGATGATGACGATGAATTCGTTGATGCCAAAGAGAACCTTAACGATTAGATGAATTATTATTGATTACACATTAATTTAATGACTTTAAGTTTCTTTTTTATTAATTTCTCATATCACAGTGAATTTATAAAGTTTGGTCTCCAAATCTGAATATTTGGTCGTCAAATTTAAATTTTTATTTATCTGAAAAAATTTTTGGACTTTCTTATAACGCATCTAGTCCATCTTCCCCACTATTTATAATACACACTTCATTAAACATAGAAATTTATATATAATGAAGCACCCTAAACTAGGTTATTGATTAGTAGTCAAAAAATCAAAATTTTTACAAAATTTTGGGGTATTTCATAAATTCCTGAAATATTATAGATTTCGGATAACCACAATAGAAATTTATTGTAATTTTTCAAACATTTTTGTTATAGTTACCTTCACATGTAAAATATTATCACTTTAATACATTTTTTTATATACTGTATGTATAGCTATATAATTAAGATAACTAATGTGTTTAAAATGTTTATATTAGTATATATATATATAAAATAATTTTTAAATAAACAAGTGTAAAATAAATATTATATTTAATGAGTTTATCGTTATTGATTTTTAATATAAACTAGTGTATGACCCGTGCCTCTGGCACGGTAATAAATAATAATTGTAAAATTGAAATATCTATAATATATTAAGGAACTAAAGGGTGATAAACCATATATAGAGCTCTTACCCGGGTCAGAAAATACTAACCGAGACGGGTCAGGTATTGACCCGGGTTATAACCCGGGTCAACAGGTCAAATGGAAATTCATAAAGTTTTTGAAGTTAATCTTTAAAATTGATGCAATGATACTTAATTAGAGCTATTAGTACAGAGAACAGCTGTACTCCAATTATTTAAATTGGAATTTTTCGGATTTTGTATTGAAAAAATTTTTCAATCTTGCTTGTGATTTGAGTTCACCCATTTTCTACACTGGGAAATTCATAACCTGACCTAGGTAAGATCTTTACTATTTAGTAACTATAACGTCTTTTACCTATATAGTACTATAATATAGTATTTTAGTAAGTTTTTGCCTACTTTAAATTCTGTCTTGTTTGACCCAGGTTAGAGCAATTTTTGACCTGTGACCTGTACAGGTCAACTAGTAATGCCACCGAAATTGATTTTCAAAAAAAGGCCTATTTTATCTCTATTAGAGCAAATTAAAATTTTTTATAAGAAAGAGCAAATAAAATTTATATATTTA